AAATGACTACAGTGAGGACATGAACAAGAAATAACCAGAAATGCAAATATTATTTTTATGCACATAAACATGATTTGTAGATAAGACAAACAACTAAGCAATTCATACTACCATCTTCCACATCTCCATATATTTGTAATTGCTCCAAGATTATTGGAGTGTCCTCTTTACCAGATTTCTTGACAATCATCAGGCCTTCAATGATGATGGAACACAAATACATAGTATTCTTTGGACGGGCTTTCTTAAGTATTACCCTTGTAATAAACAAGAAGTAATCAGTACAAACACCAATCATTTCTAATAAGTAATACAATGAAACTTTTTCACACACTACATCTCTAGTAAAGAGGACTGCTCCCCTTCAGTAGAGAACTTTTAAATTCACATTTAAAACTATGAAAATCCTTGATATAAACATTTCATTAGAAATATCACTTTCCATTTTTTGCCAGCCATGGCTAGTTAAGGCCAATGTAGGAAATGATTGGTTACAATGTTAAAACAATTACTGGAATAACTCACCATTCTTAACTACATATATTAATGATGTGATGCAAATGTTTCCAAGCAAACACAGAAATATCTAGAACATGAATAAGTACCAACTGTTCTTGTGCTCTTTACAGCCCATTGAACAGTCATCTACCGTAAGAATGATTTAGAGATTATTGCATAACACATTTTTTTCTGTAACAAACAAATTTTAATTCAAAAATCTAACAAAGATCTCTAGTAAACAGATAATTCTGGAAGATCATGACAACCACTGAATTCTAATGGGAGACAAATATCACAAGTATCTAGAATCACTTGCTGAGTAGTATAATGATTCAACTGCCAGCAATACTGGATGGTTCCCCAAAACATCAAACGATTGTCTCACAATATAAAAGTGCGCCATATTGCAACTAATAGGTGTACTTGAATTTAGTACCCCTCCTCAATTCACATTGCTGGCAGTAGTTAAAATACAATATAAAGAAGAATTATAACATGACTAAAGGAGAATTGAAAAAATCAATAGATTCAATGAATGAATTCATTTAGGAAGTATGAGTAATTATAAAAATAATAACAATAGAATGTAGGTGAAATAAAGCACTTCACCTTCACAAACACTCAAAGAATTGACCAGCGTAAAAAATAAAATACTACAAAAGGAATAGTAAGGAATCAATCTGTAGATCACATACCCCTCAGCCTAAAAAAAGGAAGTACAAACCTTACATCACAGTTTGCCTAGTGAAAAGCAAGATAAAGTTTAGAAAATTCCAGTCATTCAAGCTCATCATGGGATGTATGTTTATGACATCATAAAGACCATCCTTATTTTATTACTAAGATTGAATTATTACAACACACCACATTATTCATTATTGCTAGTTTGAAAGTGATAATGAAATCTTACAATACATGCATTTTGTCCTTCAGCCAAGGACTATAATAATACATCACAGCTACTAGTTCATGATATACAACCATAACAACTTTTTATCACAAACAGTATTTGAAAGCGTTTGAGAATGATAAAATATCAGAATGGACTTTATGATGACCTGAAAAAACACTGTAGGCCAATGAGTTCCAGAAGTAATATAGCAAGTGGAACTGAATGATGAGAAATTATGCATGAAAGTGATTTCAGAAAACAAGAGGAATTTCTCTTTTTGACTGATTGTGAATTGAATTATTTTAAGTAACAACTTTGTAATTGAGTCTTCTTTTAATGGCATTTCTGCTATGAAACAGCTATTTAAAACATCACATTAAAAAGTACCACAAAAATGAAGTAAATAACATAGCTATCAACAAATTTCAACAAATCACATTCATCTACATAGTTATTTCATCTAATGAACACTGAGTCAATAAACCAAAACATATATCACAACAATTTGCATCTAAAGTTTTATGAGTCTCGTCAGAAAATCAGTTCAGCAAATGCAGTTTGTCTGACAGGAAATGAGACTTCAGGTAAACAGAGTTTAAAATAGTGGGTTGGAACCTCACATCAAACACTCTAACTCTTTATATGAGCTGAGAAAATTACCGAAGACAGTAAAAACATCATAGACAATTTATTTGTGTGTATATAGACATTTGAAGGACCACCAGATAAGGACAGATCAGAATTATGACTAGATAAGTGTTGTTTCAAAATTGGCTTACAGCCTATGTGACATACAAGTACAGCAATAAATTGTGTTTCACGACCAAGATCCTTTTGTATCTATGAACAGATGGTACATCAGAAAGACAAGAGAGAGAAGTTTGTTGTGAGTGTTCAATTCGAAAGTTGCATATTGCCTGTGCCACATGACGTGGTAAGAAGGAAAAGGAGCAACATAGTCTTTGACTCTCTGGTACCTCAGAAGGTAACACAGAAACTACCTTAACACTTTTCATATTCACATTTCGCACTCCATCATCCAACACAACCAACCAAATAGTTGGTTTCAAACCAGTTCCAACCCTCACCTACTGCCAAAGCATGTCACATGAGTGAAGTCATTAGGCCCAGGCCGTGGATGTAAGACCCACTGATAGATTGAATGCCCCGCAAGACTGCACCTGAATGTCAATACACATCATATTTGGAAGCATCTAGAAAAGATAGTACGATCACATCAATCCCACCACATTCTAGCATCACAAAATATACTTCTGAACCTCTTTTGTTTTAAAAACCACAACCCACAAATTATATCACCCCACAATATCATTCCAAAATACATTTTTCTGTTGTATAAAAAGTCTCCGTTCAGTTTATCAAAGTTACAACCATATTGCCTTGATCTCACCCATGTTTACGAGTAACAGCGGTCTATTCAACATCAAAGATTCAATAGATAAAACATTCAATTGCAACAAAATGCTTTCTAAGATATTGCACAAATTGTTTCAAAATGTAGGAAACAATAGCGAAAGAAGAGCATTCAATATGAAGAACAACAAAACAATTCCATTTAACAAATTTTTAGGATGTGAAACCTTATGAGAAACAATGATCATAAGAGTATTATTATTAAAATTATCTACCTACATTGTATTTTTATCAAAATATTTCTTAAAACAAGCCTCCATATACTAAATATTTCATAGGACGCAAATTGTAATAATTTATTTCAAGAAAAATACTGAAATATTCTTAAATGAGGCTAAATTAATTTACGTTACAAAGACATGTTCAAAAACGATCTTTCCAAAATCTTGTTCGGAAGATTACACTTATTCCTCTAAGCAGTAATCATATCACAGGGTATACTTCCAAAACTGATGCATCAACTCAGACTGTTGTCATATTAAAAATTAAATTGGGCAAATATCTTCATATTGAATGGGACTGAAGGAGACAATACATATACCTCACAAATACATTGGATGAATGAAATGTTCAAATATTATAGTACAAAAAATACATTGATTATCTCAAGTAACAAATAGCCTAAAGTAAGAAAATATAGCAAAATTCACCTTTTAAAATCACAGATTTGTCTCTTGACAAATTACTTAAGTAGGAGTCTATGCCTCCTGTTCACAGAAAATTACTTGCATGATTGAACTTACTGTTGTTACAGAGAAGTATCTCAGGAACCAACTATTCATCAGCAATGTATACAAATCATGCTGTTACCAGACATGGATGAAACAAAACTGTGAACTTTCTGAGTCATTATCAATCAAATTTTACTTCTAAGACAAGTCCAGCATGTCTAGGGACCATATACCACTTATGCAGGAAACTTGCTGGGCCACAAAACCTACTTTTCTGGCCTGATGTGAAAAACCATTTCAACAGCATGACTTTCTCACCTCATACTTACACCACAGAATCAATCTTAGCCCTAAATGGAGCATATTCCCCAATTCTTTACTGCAAAATTATATTTTGCATAAAAATTATCTTTAGCCTTCAAAACACAATTCCCTATTAACCTACTTCCCCCCTGACTTAAAAACCCCATCTGTTACCCATGAACCATATACCACCTTTGTTAAGAAAGGAAGTAAATGTACCAACATCAGACATGTACAGAGTAATGTATTATGTACAAATGTGAGCTTAAGAAGTGATGCAGCATGTTGTGTGCAAATCAATATTCTGAATTGCTGCCTGCCCTAGAATGTAATGAGCTTTAAAATAATTGCCCTGCACTGTGTGAATACTGCCAAGAGCCATCACATTTTCTAGAATGTCAATTGGAACACGGCGGGGCTGAGATAACCATTCCAAAGCATAAGTAACTGAAAACTATTCTTTCATATCCCCATAAACTTCACTAGTTACCATACTCCAATATTTTCCCTTTGCTCTCTCTGCTAAGTGGCTAGTAAACTTTCTGGCAGGGCTTTTATCACAGCACACCGAGATTGTAACACACTAATTAAAATACATTAAGATGATTGCAAGCATGAACTCGCAACATTCTTGGAGACAAGACAATCCTAAGACACACAACAGAGGCTGCCAAGTACTTACTATATATTATTGCACTGATTTACACATGTTAAACAATAAATAATCCACAGTTTATGACATTATTGTTCAGTGAAACGATGCCTTTAAGACATCTAAGGAAGGGGTCTCATAGGAGTTTCCCCCATATTGCTTCTAGAATAACACTAGTCACATTTTGTGTCAAAATGTGAACATCTAATTTTTTAAATGATGGCACTGGACTTCATTGTTACAGTTTCATGGCTGAAAAAGAACCTTTTGGCAAAAGTTATTATGGCATACACGTTTGGCATGTAAATCACCAAAACAAGGATGCTGCCCAAACAAGTTTAGGCAGTTTTTTTGATATTTGGCAGTAATTTCTCCTTCAAAACATCTCCGCGAGTTTAAGTTTTTAAGGTGCATATCAGCAGCACACAACCACAATGAAAGATTCTGTTCACGGCTTGCTCATATTTAAAATCCTACGTCTCTACAAAAATAATGTTAACACAAAATATATTACCCTTATCTCTTGTATCCGTTTAACCTTTTCCCCTTAAGTACGTGTGGAGACTACGTCCGGGGAGGGGGGTGGCTCCTCGCGGTTAGCGCGGGGCCGGTGGCGGCGCGGCGTGGGCGGGAGGGGGCGCGGGTGAAGGAGTGGAAGAGGGCGAGGCGGGGGAGGCAGGGTGTGAGCGGGGGCGGGGGCGGGGCGACGGGCGGCGAGGGGACGGCGGCGGCGGCAGAGGCCGGCAGCGGCGGGGCGGCGGCGGGGCCGGGGCGGGCGGCCGCGCCTCATCGGGTCGTTGTGGATGTGCGTGGTGAGGTGCTTGGAGAGGTAGTTCGGCGCGTGCGAAGCACTTGCCGCCATCTCGGCAGTGGTAGGGCCGCTCGCCGTGTGGATGCGCAGGTGGCGCGTCAGGTCGGACTTGCCGCGAGGCGCGCCCGCAGAACAAGCACACGAAGGGCCGCTCGTACGTGTGCTTGCGCACGGTGCAGCTTCAGGTTCTCCTTGGAGCGCACGCACTTGCCGCAGAACGGGCAGGCGAAGCGGCGCTCGCGCTGGCGCTCCGCCGCGTCCAGGCGCAGAAAGTTGATGAGCGACGCCTCCCTGCGCGCTGCGCAGCGCCGCCGCCTCGTGCGCGGCCGCCGCGGCGCTGGCCGCTGCGCCGCAGACGCGGCAGCCGCCCCGCGGCCCCGCTCCCGCCCCGCCCCGCTGCTCCCGGCGCCCGCGCCGCCGCCTGCCCGACAGCGGCGAACGCCAGCGAGTCGATGGTTTCGTCCCTGCTCGCCGTCCGACGCGCGTTCCGTCTTGGTGCCCTTGGCTCTCTAGCCCGCCGTAGTAGTAGTCGTCACGGAGAACTTGTAGAAATTGTGCTGTTCGCTTTTGGAGACGGGCACGCTGGGGGGCGGTTCGAAGCCGCGGACACGCCGCGAAATCGGAGGCGTTCGAGCCCACGGCTTCGTTGGAGCTGGACACCTGGTCGCTGCCGCGTCGGCCGCCGACGAGGTGGAGGCGGCGGAGGGCGAGGCGGCGGCGGAGGCGGCGGCGGCGGCAGCCGCGGCGGAGGAGGCGGCGGCGGGCGGCGCCGTGACGCGCCCGCGTCCCGCGGGCTCAGCCAGCGTGGGCCGGCGGCGAGAAGAGCCCCGACGCGTCGCCGTTCAGCCGCCCGCCGCCGCCCGCCCGACAGCACTGGAAAGGGCTCTCGGCGCGAACCGCCGTAGTCTGAGGTGGACTCGGGCTGGCCCGTGGATGCCGGGCGGAACGGCCGCTCGCCGAACAGCCCGGGGCCTGCTGCTGCCACCCGCGCACGGCGCGCGCGAACACGTCCAGGTCGGCCGGCGACTTAGAGTGCAGCTTTCTCCAGCGCGTGGTTGAGGCGGTGCTTCTTGAAGGACTTGAGGTAGCGGAATTGCATCCCGCACACGTCGCACGTGAACAGCTTGTCGCCGGCAGACGCGCCGGTGGTTCTGCTCGCGGTGCTTGAGGTAGGCCGAGCGGTAGCGGTAGCTCTGGCCGCATTGTTCGCACTTGAAGGGTTTCCTCTCGTCGCCGGGGGCGGGTCCTCCCGCCGCCGTCCTCGCCCCGCCCCCGCCACCCCGGGACCCGGCGCCGCATGCTGCAGGCTCGAGTGCTGCTCCAGCAGCCAGGCGGACGGGAAGGCCGCCAGGCAGATGGGGCGCAGGGAAGGCGGCCGGCGCGGGGCCCGACGACGAGCGGCGCTGTCGTCGGAGAGCGGCGACGCCGCGGCGCCAGCAGCCCCTGGCGCTGCAGCAGCCCCAGGAATGGAGCAGGCGGGCGCCGGCCGGCGTCGTTGGGGTCGCCGAAGGTGGGTGCGGATAGCCGCCGGCAAAGGGCGAGAACGGGAACTGGAAGGGCGTGGACGCGCGCGTACTTATCTGCAGCTCAGCCGAGCAGCGCCGCCGCGCCGCCGCCACCGCGCAAGCGGGGCCGAAGCGGCCCTCCGCTGCCGCTGCCGCCGCGGCCGCCGCCGCCGCTGCCGCCGCCGCCAGCGTGGCCTCCTGCAACAGACACACGCGTCGCGGACCCGCGCTCGCCCGCATCCGCTTCCTTCGCGCTGCCCTTCCGTCTGCAAACGACGGCCTTCGTAGGGACCGCAGTGGGTACAAAAGAAGCGGCAGCCATATTATTGTAACAACTCTCATCTCTTTGTGTTTCAAATTTGAAGGAACACAGGGATTGGGACAAGGAAGAAAATTTTCGATAACTGTCGTGTTGCGCTACGCCCTCAAAAGGTATTTTGGTGTGTAAGCAAACACAATTAATTCGTGCTGTCATTTAACTAAATTTGGTACAGAATACGAAAAAATGCATGGGAGCCAATTTAATTCATGACGAAATACTAATTTAGCGTTTAATTTAATTATTTTCCACATTATATGATGTTGATTTTTCAATTCTGTAGAAATAAACTCCTAAGTTCTTCTAACTCCAGATAACCATTTGCACAGCAACATTTGGATAGGATGAATATCTGTAGAATATTACATGTGCAAACATCAATATTTAAGAAACACTCTACCACACACAGTGTTTGGATATCAAAACTAAATTCGTTACAAGGAATTCCTTGACAAAACTTTTGAACAAGTACATTCACCAGACACTATGGCTAGGGCAAAATTGCGGAACTAAGATTCAATTTTAAAAAAAAAAAAGTGGGAATTTTCTAAACAAATCCTAGTTGAGGAGTCACCCACCACCTGCATTCAATTAATTGAAATGTGTCATCAGAGAAAGAAATTAGGTCTCTTTGAAATGATATGTTACCATCAGATATCACTAAATTTGATGTATTTGTCATTTTTAACTATGAGAGCTTGACACCATACATTTCTCTCTATAATCAATTATTAACACCAGTTCAATAATACTCTACTGCGCAGTATTCAAGGTGAACCATTACACAACACTTTTTACAGCATTTTATTTGTCAAAACCTCTTTACAGCTATGATATGCATGTTTTGTTTTGAAAGAGCTTAAAAATAAAGCTGCAGAATGGCAAACATAACTTCTATAACAACAGTGTGTGAAAACAAAAGCAAATATCACAACTTTTTAAACAAAGATACATAAGCATAGGAATTTGCAACTGACTTAGAATATTTTAAAAAAGCAGATCCATATGAGTGCACTTAAGGACATGGATACAAATTATTTCTAAACAGGAACATGAGATAGATCTGGTCGCACTTAATTTGGACAGGGGTTCAATACAAAGTACATAGAATAATGTACTTTTTATAAGTATAATTTCTACACAAAGTAAATGATTCTAATATGTACATGAATTTGGAATGGTTTATAAAACACAACATGACATCATTTGCAACTTTTGTATATAAAAAATCATTTCAGATATTCTCTTTGTTTCTATTAGTTGTTACACTAGTCTTTGTATATATACCCCCATCCAAATTGAAGTATTTAAAAGTTGGCCAGCAATATTATTAGCTTCAGGAACTTGGATTTCTATTCAATAATGTGGAACACTAGCAATGCATGGAGGATGGGATAGTAAAATCACACTGAAGTAAAATCATTTAGGGCCAGATGGTTAGGCAATTGGATTACTTTACAGAGCAATGTTTCAAAAATCATCAGTCAAAAAAATATTGTGGACAACACGTGTGGATCTAATGCCACAGGAAACAAGCACTGTTCACAGCAACAAATATAACCAGAAATCTCTCAGCATTATGAAGCATACAAATCCCTTCCTCTAGAATGCTGGTGGTACATTGTTAAGTTGGAATGGCACAACATACAAAAATGTATTCCAATGAATGCAAAGAAACTGCACAGCAACATCTGAATAAACAAAGCCTTACTTGGATTATTCGCTGCTATAAATTCAGAAAGTATGTTTAGTGCAGCACAAACTAACCAAACTTGAACTATGAATTCAATTTCACATGAATGTATGCAAATGATGCCTAGACATTTAATGCAAAATCAGTTTCTTAAACAAGAAAAAAACACCTGTAGTTTCCTTTGGAAATCTTGCCTATGATAACCAAATTATGATCATAGAGGATGAAAATGCCTTGACTATTAAACAATAGTGTCAGCATTTTCAAAATTTTTGCCTTCTAATGAAAGATAATGAAGATTATGTAAGCACATTACTACATAGTGATTTTGTGTGCAAGGTTATAGGAGTCATTAGTTGGGAGATAAAATCCATCAACAATTTTTTGTCGAAAAGAAGTCTGAAATGTTGAACTTTTGTTTAAAATTTTTAAAACTGAAACAGCATATTTAAAAAATTTATGCAAATCACTCTGTTATAAGACCTATTTTTATTTTTATACAAATAAGCTGCACATTAGAATCTCATCACAGACTATCACAGTTTTTATCTGTAATTCATATATGTTTCTTGTATGTGTGTCTAACTCATATACATATTCAACACGTCTTGCAAATACATTAACTTTTTCTTCAATAAACTTCACGCTTAGAAAAATACAACTTCAGTCAGGGAACAGTATTCTTGTACCAAGGCAAGCCACAGCCAAAATGAAGTCGGCTTCATACCTCAATCATAAAGGGCAGTTTTTGAATGACCATACTGCCTCTGCTAGTAGTTGCCATCATTGTTAACTCGAAAATAGAACACTGGAAACTAAGTCAGCCATTCCATTTCAAAAATACACTTAACATGATCTTTCATTCTGCATTTCAATGACTGGTTGACCTTGAAAATATTCAACTTCAAATTCATAAACATCAGTAGGGAATTGAAAACTAAAGTGAATCATTTCAATGCATTTGAATATAATTATCTCAAATCCACACAAGAAGCTGGAAAGTGAAACTAGGTTTGATTCACTTTTCAGGCTACCCTTCAATGCTGACCTATGCTGATGCCAATGCAAAGCACCTACTGCCCTTACACGAAATATTCATCACTCAATAGAAGGAACATGTTACTTTCCTGGTGCAGAGGTTGAAAGAATTTGATAAACAGAGTGTGTCTATTTTTGGGTAGAAACATCATACAAAATTATTTAATTTCAAAATTTTCTTTAATTGTCTTCAAGTAGACAATGATAATGGTTTCTCAATCCCTCCAAACCTAACATTTTATCAAAACACATCAATAAAAATAAGATACAAGAACAACTGTTGTACATTTTAAGAACACAAATAATTATGCACAAACTTCACAGGCAGTAAATACTTATTGCATTGGGGCACCAACAAGATTTTACTCAACAATGATAATAAATTAAAACAAAACATCTACCTATAACAGACTCTATTACCATTAACAACAAACAGGCATTGCTCTTCAACATAACATCATAATTACTTAACAAAGTACATCACTTGGTGCCCAGCAAAAATTTGCCCATATTGTGCCACTACACTTTAATAAAATTGCAGTCTAAGACTTCTATTTTCAAAACCAGTAACTTTTAACTTTTGTAACTACAAGTTCTTGTTCCTTTAGGAAAGCAAATACCCAGTTGGAAATACTCTCCAGATGGTTGTAACACAAAGTAATACCTCAATACTTCTTGGTAACATTCAAGTTACAAGGCAGAGAATGTGATATGTACGAACTGGACACCCTGCAATATTGCATATGAACTGCCAAAAACATTATGCTATTACAGGATGTGTAAAATGAGCAATGAAATGCATAGCATCCTGATGTAGAAAGTGGTACCCAGTGTACTATTTGGTAAAGATGATGGTGCATTCCCATCTTGAGAAGTATTGGTATTGTTCATCAGTATTCCATCTGGGCTAATAGCATGCTCGAACATTAACTTTAAGTTATCTTAAAAGAACAACTGTTCACATTGTAGCTGCCAAGAATTCATTTATTAGAAGCATAATGTTTCTGAGAAAATGAAACTTCCTTTCTATGTTTCTTGCAGCTTGATATAATTTTTGTAAGTATAAATGGAACCAATGTCAGATCTAGAAAAGAATGCAAATGTACCCTGTATACCTATCACATACCGTATACTCTAGTTCAAAGTAACACAGCTTCACTGTACTACAAAATGAAAAACTACAGAAAATGTATTAATTTCTTTCTTAATAAAAATAGGATTCTGATCAGAGAAGGATTTAATATGCATACTATCTGTTGGTATATTCTTCACAACCATTCATTTCATTATTTCGCAATAGGTGTCCACTTATCTCTGTATATACAAAAGTGCAAGAGAAAAGCAAATATCTCACAAATTAACCCACAAATTCAGTTTAACTGACACAGATCAGCAGGTTCAGTAATTTTAGGCAGGTTCAAATAAATAAAAATAAGGCAGGATCAAATAAGACAATTGTGTGCATTACAAAAGAGGTGAGAAAGTAAATGAGTTTTTAAGAGTCGCATACAAGCAATATAGAGTTAAAATAAAACAATGTTTTCAAGTAGACACCTACATGCAATCTTATGCCAAAGATCATTCCTCAACCCTACATACAGTTGACTTACTAGAGTGATATTTTGTCAAGCTTCACAATGAACTAAAAAAATAAATGTTTCAGAAAATAGAATTACAGTTTAATATCCTTATAAAAGCAGCTTCCCTGGGGTGCTGTCACATCCTTCTTTACAATTTGAACATAATAATCCGTATGGAGTAAACATTTTTGTGATCAGACTCCTCGGTTACATCTTTTTAAAAGCAAATTTTTTACATAAAATGCTTTAGGGGTGCTTTGTAATTTTAACTAAGGCAATATCTGACCAATAACCAAAGAAAATGTAACTCTTGGTTTACAGGATGCATTTCACATTCACAAATAACTTGTATTCAGAATGTGACCATTTCATATGAAGCAGGAAATATGAAGAAAATGTATGTTCAAAACTATTCAAATTTAAACTCTTGCAAATAAATAATTCACATTAAGCTAATCTACAACATACATATTAATAAATAATTTAAATATATTTATATATATTTACAATTCATATACAATCAAATAAAAGGCTCTGTTAACAAAAAAGGGATTATATTCTTTCAATGGCCACTTTTGTGTGTCATGAGGCACTTATTGAAACTGATGGTCCCTTCACAACACGGATATGACAACCAATCACATTCTGTCAGAAAGAATCCTGCACAAGTGCTATTAATGATTGTGGAATGTAAAAATCTACTAAAAAATCATTGCGCCAACTATGTATAGTGTGCAATGAGTCAATAGATTCCATAATGAATACATCAAAGAAATTAAATAATTAAAAATGTCTGAATAGACTACAGAGACGACCATTGTCCGATAATCCCACATCCACCATGCATTATGCAGTCCTCAGTCTCTCATTTGTACAATAGAAAACCCACATGGAACCTTAAAACATACTCTTTATGATATTATTGCTATTATTATTTGGAAATTGGAGAGAATTTATTTAAACAAGTAATATTGCCAAACGTATTGCTATCAGGAGAAAAGTGCATGTAAATGCTGATAATCCATAAGGTAAGCTAACAAACAACTAAAGTCCCAGACCCACATACAAAGCAATAAGAGATGATAACTAAATAAAATAATTCAGTCATGTATTAAGCTATTAATACCTGTGTATGCTCAACACTTCTACCTTCAAAAATACTTTAAAATGAACAGTACATGCTATTCACAGGACTTGTACAACCAAGAGCAATTTCTGGTTTGTGGTCAGAACATTGATGACATAAATAAAACAATGTTTTACCCTGAAATTGCCTCAAGAAAAATAATATAGCTTTGGCTCCAACATATGGTGGGCATAGTTACATAAAATTTCTCTTAAAAAATACATACAATTTCATTAATGGTATGAATCCATAAACATATTATTTTTGACTGTATTTCTTAATGTTTTAAGAATGTATTTGGCTATGTAATCAAAACAGCAAAGATTGCTGCAGACAACACAGTATAATTTGTTAACTGAAGTCATTGATACAAGCACTCCACTTGTAATCCAGAGAAAACAGTCTGCTGGTGATCTGCTTTTTACATTAACCTAAGTACTATTGCATTAACTATTGTATTAAATTAAACTGTAATTAAACCATTAAGCTAGAAGACACTACAGAGAAGCTTCTCAAATACTTTGTTTTCTACAGTGACAAAGCTTTGTGTATGTGTACTTGTGGCATGCTAACCAATGTACAGTGAACATAGGGTAAGGGGTGTTATACATTTCCAAAACACTACAACTACTCTGTACCACTAACACACCTACAGTAGGACCTACGGCTGCCGTCAGTTGAGATGGGAGGCGGTACAGGACCGTAGTTGCACACCATACCGACCAATGGCAGGTTCAACACCCAGATAAGACACGCTCCACAGATAAATCCCTCAGGAGGGAAAGGTTGACCTCTCTGGCCCATGCTTAATGCTATACTCGAAATATTAAAAATGCTTGTGTGATATGACTCTTCTTCAATTAGTATAAACTGCAAAAGTCTTTTTCCAAATTCCCTAACATCCCATTTTCTACCTTACAATTTATGAAAGTATCAAACAACCTTTAACTTCTGAGGCACGGAATTGAGTGTTGCTGTGTCTGCAATAATAAGTTAAGAACATGAGAATTAGAATCTCCAGGCACATTCTATTCGTTCAACCCACCAGCCCGTGCCAGTGCAGTGTGATCATATTGCTCAATTAAACGAAACATTGAGAAATGAAGGAAACTATTTTAGGTTTGTGAAGATGAAAAGTATCACTCTAAAAATTTCAGAAGTTAAAATTTTTTTCAGGCAGATAAGTCCACAAAACCCAGACTCTCATTCAAAAACCATTATTATCTCGCATAACAGCAGCCAGCATCTAGCATTCTAGGTGGGGCGCGACATGGCATGCAAGTTGCAACTCCCATTTGGATTAAAAAAAATTACAAAACAGCTTAGCTTACTTTCAGCTAAGTGTCTACACCCACTCCTAGGTGAGATGTATTTTTTTTCAAAGTGCACTCTAAAAAAGCACCACAACATTCGCTATTATAAATCTCAGGAACTTTTTCTTTAAGTTGACTAGTCACATACAACCATTTCTCTATAGCTGTTTGTGACAAAAATAACCGATGGCATAATTTATATATCTACCATCAACAATAAACCATCTGTATCCCCTCTCTTCCCTCTTCAACATTAAATAAAGCAAAGGCTAGGTATATCTAATAATTAACAACTAATATTATAGTAATTAATATAGTATCACATCCAACTGCTGCAGGATAGCGAGTGTATTCAACGTTCCAACTGGTTGACACAGCAGTCTCACTATAATTCTCACTCCACAAAATTCTCGGGGCAATAATACTGTGAAATAATCTCTACAACTTAAAGTGTACACAACAGCATGACAGCTCCAGGCAACTATCACAATGGAAATAACTCCAGTTTTTTAAGACTTTCTATGTTTATAAAAAAATTGTCTTCGGCAGAAGTGGAATGCTTCTGTTCACATATTTAACCTTTCAACAAACTGGTTTAACCCTTTCAACAACTCGTGGAAATGCAATATTCATTATCATATGTATATGGAAGATCAGTTCTTTTTGATAATTTTATATAATATATGTAGATAATATATAATTTGTGTACTATGCACCATATTTACTCACTGACAAGAATAAAGTTTAATAGTTTGCAAGTATTTCAGGTATCTGAGTGCATACTCTCAAGAATGAAAAATTATAGTACTTCTCAAAGTGTCTGAATGTTTATGTTAGGATAAGATTGACAAAACACATCGTTGAATTTCATTAAAATAAACTTTTCCAATTTGGTAACAAGTATCTACTGCCTATTAAAAGAACAAAAATTCTCCATTGATTCAATGCATGTTTAAAAATATAGGTTTAAAAGTACATATTAATTACACACCTAAAATCTATTTTTAAAAAAACCTAACAAAAATTATGATAAAGAAATGGTAAGGCATGATATTGCCTTTAAAATGCATACAAACAATTGAGCACTCAGACGTATCTTAGTTTTTTCTGTGTTCATAAAGACAATGAAATGTTGCTTCAATGCTTGAATTCATGCAAATCTGCACCCATTCACACACGGAGTGTGCAGGCAAACTACACACGTGCTTTTAAGTAGAAGTAGTCGAGAAGCATGAGATAAAATGAAAGCAGCAATTCTCAAAAAACCTTCCAAGTATGAGTGTATATGATATGTAAAAATGTTAACTAGTTTCTTTTAAGAGCTTCTCAAAACGTAACTAGTGTCACAGCCACAAAAGTATTCCAATATTCTCTCTAAATTCAGTTGTTTTCATTTTAAATAATTCAAGAACTACTGCACTGAAGCTTGTGAACCAGCAGCAAGCCAGTATTCATCTCCTTCATGACATTGTGAGAATCTACAAACGGGTATTCTATCACAGCTGTTACAGTACTGAGTAGGAAAATGTTAACATCGTTCTACAAATAAGAAGTGAACTTCAAAAACCAAACACTTCTTGGATTATATGATCAAATAAAAAAATCACAGGTATAAAAGTAAAAAAGAGTTTTCCAAGAATGAGATACCAGTTGCCAATGCAACTTTTATATAATCCGTAACTTGTGGCACTCAATACAAGACGAGATTGGAAGAAAAAATAGGCTCTTGGAAATGAGTAAATACTGGTGCCTATAGTTTCTACAGGTGATTGCTACCGCGACATTTAACATTGGTGGTTTATGACCCAGTGGGTTTGTAATGTTATATAATTTAATGCTCTTTCATTATAAATTTTAAATAAAGCACAGTGCTTCAGAAAAGTTTATGTACACAGAATAATTTATATCATCATGTAAAGCACTTTCATTTCTTCAATTCACATTGTGAATACTAAATATGCAATTACTGTCACATACGGTGGTGGTGAGCAAGCAACCTATGGTGAAATTTTGTACAAAATCTATTGGGCCTCACACTGGATTTTCTACTGATACACCAGTCTAACTTTTTTATACTAACATGATTACAAATGTACTCCAAATTACATTATTTATATTTTCTAAAACACCCAACTATGAATATACTTTAACAATTTCCCATAACATGGTTATCGATTTTGTTGCAATATAAGCATAAATTAAATTTAGCAATGTTAAATAATTTTGCAATTCTAACTAAAACTGTAGAACTAACCAAATGCCTGTTGCAGACTAGAACACTTTTTTCCTACCACAACTCCAATTGTTCAATTTCTCTAAAATTACTCGTAGCATAGCTTGCACTAATTCAATAGATTGCCTTTCTAGACCAAGGGCTCCGTTTTATACCACAAGCACCAACTGGGCAGCAAAAACATTTTTAATAATGGAATTAAGCTAGCTCTTTTTAAAGCACTCTTTATGATGAATAATTTTTAGAGTGTTTTCATCAAAACACTTAAACATTTTACGTACAAATAATCCTTGCTAACACAAGAACTCGCCTTGGAGCAGCCTGTACAATTCCGAAAAGATTTAACCATGTATATATCCCATTTTAAAAATCTATCAAAATAACCAATAATCTTTCTAATACTCTAGTGTAAATAATGCATTTCCCTGTATGCAAGGTTAAATTCTACGGAATAGTACAAGGGGGGCACTTTGGAAATACATATAATTTAAATTTCCTGTGTCATTATTGCTGTGGAGATTCCTCTTCTGTGTCGACTGGGCTGGGGGAAAGGAACTTCCTGACATACTTCGGGTAGTGGGTCTTCTCGTGAGCCTTCAGGATGGTGGATCGTGAAAACGTCTTGCCACAGAGTGAACATCGAAATGGCCGTTCACCAGTATGGACACGGCAATGGTCCTTCATGTGATGTCGTAGCTTAAAAGCCTTGCCGCAAAACTCGCACTTGAAAGGGCGGTCGCCAGTATGAACCGGTAGATGTGTGATGAGGGAACTGACGTCTGGAAAGGACTTGCCACAAAACTTGCACAGAACCACATTAGACGATGTTCCAACTTCACCAAGACCACTTGTTGAAAAGTCTAGTTCCATGGCCGAGTTTTCATGAGACTGAGGAGGTTCCAAGATATCATGAGGAGGAGGCGGCCGTCCTCCAAAATGACTCTCCATGAGGTTCAAAGGCTCCATCATGCCAGTGGCCATAGACACCAGTGATTGATGTGGATGCATGTGAACCTGCTCACGATACTTCAACGTCTCCAGACTATGGGATAGGATGTGGCGAGTGAGTTTGCTCTGGTATGGAAAGGAGGCTCCGCAATACATACACGAGTACAAGCGCGGGGAGTGGCTCTCTGGGGGCTCTGATCCCCCCATTGCCTCCTGCAACAAAACAAAAGAACATCAACTTCTTTTTGCTTGGAATATTGGAATTCTAATATTTTTTCCTCAACCATGATTCCCAAAAATTATAGCCAAAAAAATATAGCACAAGAAGTTGACGCTCATTTTGTTTGGCAGCGAAGAAGTGGGGGTGATCAATATTTTTTGTAACAAAAATCAACATAATTTGTGCCTCAAATTTAAAATGATCGCACAATTTTACATAAAGTCCAATAAACTATGAAAAGACAACCATGGCCAAATTGAAGGTCAACTTCTTGACAGCAAGACAGTTAAAAACATGTTTAAAAAGCAAGCAAGCACAAAGCTCCACAAGGCTAAATAGATTCCACTACCGAAGCAGAGACAAAACAGACTATGCATATTTAGTATTGAGAACTACATATATGTATATCAAATAAAACACCCCAACCTAAATTACAAATAAATATGACATCTCTGAGCACAGTATGAGAATTCTGTGTAGGAGGATAATTAATGAACATAAAATATGGCCTGGTTTTAATGCAAACTTAGCCAGTAATTTTGTGTTCAATGAGTAGAAAGCAAACTCATTATAAATAAATATAAGGATTTGTAATGTAAATAAACTTAAAAATCAAATATGGGATTCGATAAGAAATCATATGTATTAAAAATAAATGTAAAATAAATTTTAACTAGCAACCACAAAATTTAAAATAAAATATTTATTTAAAAAAATGCTTAAGCAAGTCTAGTTTTCATTAAATTATGAATGAATAAAACAATACATATTTTTTTCAAGAAAAAATCTGGACGTTAAAAATGTCAAAATACAACATATTGTGGTTATGCAACATATTGTGGATTCATAAAAAAAGTAACTTTAAGTAAAGAACTATACCAGCTACCACATAAAGCAGCTCTTGCTTAAGCATATGCATATGAAAGAATGAAAACATCAAAGTTGAAACATGCACAAAAATCACAAGACTCAAGCAAATAAAACATATAATTTTGGAATGTTTGCAAAAGTACTGTTATCAGATACTCAACTCCACAAAATATTTAAACTAACTTAACAATGTACTCATTCTAGCACACACTAATACTTACCAGTTGTACAATTTGAGAAAGAAAAGATAAAAGACAGTTGAAAAGGGCACACAAGTTGATTGCATGCATTACCTAAACGTTAAAACATTAAGTGTAAACATGAAATTTAATAAAGAATTTCATTTAATAGAAATGACAGGAGAGAAAACCACAATGCAATACTCTTCCATATTAATTTGTACATGCGTCACAAAGTAATGTAAATATAAAAGATATCCAGAAGTTGATGAAATCAGTAACAATGAGAAATCACAATAAAAGGACATTCATAATACAGAAATGTTCACAACGGCAACATTTTACTTACCGAAAATGTAAATTATTATTTGAGAGAGAGGATTTAGCACACTAATATCATATTAGAAGGGGCAATTTCTTCTCAAACCGAAATAATATTCCTACGATCGTTGTAATTACTGCCTTTAGCCAAGTTCTGAAAAATAGTTTTGTTTCTTAAAATTGAAGACTCACTTTGATGAGCAAAATTATCTGAAAAAGTATGTCTGTGGTTGTTCATAGCTCTTACTTGGAAATCACAAGACAACACTCCTTTAGGAAACTTCCAGGCCTGTACGCACTGTACAAACAAAATGGAAAAATTTCACGTTGAAACACACGCACATTAACCGTATACAATGATGAAACTTGTGTGCCCCAATCGTAAAAAAAATAATTTGAAAACATGCTTTCCTGGAGCCACCTAACATAGTCCCTGGTGAATAATTTTCTTGTGGAAAAGCTTGTCCTAACAATGTTTTCAGCCCAAAAAGGGAATATTTTTAATTAAGGCTTATTTCTGAGACCTCCCAAGAAGTTCATTTATATTTTCTGTGTGTGGCAGAGGGTAATAAAGGATAAGCACAGGAAGGAAAACATATTGCAGTCTAAACACAACACTTACATATAAATAAATGAAATAAAATAGGAAAATCTTACCGTATCATGAGGATGCCTGTAATCTGAGGAACTTTCTCCCGTCGTGCTTTTATCATCACCAACACTTCGATCCCAATCAACTTCTTTTTTCAACGACTGGAACAGTCACAATCAGGACATTTCAGAGATTGTTTTTCTTTTACTTCAGGACAAATTACTTATATAATGTCCTACTTTTTGATCTAATCCTACACCCTGAGAAAATTACACTTGTCATCATAAGGATTTTCATTTACTCTATTTCTCCAGTCCTGAGCCTGCTCTCAAAATAATTAAAAATTCCTCTGATTATTTTCTTGCACTAGGGTTAGCCAAATAGAAATCATACTTCACTGGATTATACACACACTTTTTGAAATTTTTTCACTATTATGATACTACGAACAAGGCAAATTTAAAAAATGGCAAGATAGGATCTACACATATTTCACTGAACAAAACACAAGTAAACACTGCAATAATTCTGAATTTTCCTTCATTTGGTAGACACTCACTCTAGCACGGAACACTTTCTGATACTTACTAGAGGGACTTGCTGCACAGGAAGCATGCCAGAGGGGCCAGGCAAAGGCTCACTGCTGTGGGGAGATGGCAGTCGACTGGTACTTGCAGAACATGTGGCAGTGGCTGCAGGAGCGGGCGGATTGCATGAGGTTGCACTGTTAGATATTGACATGTCGCTTGGTCCGGCACAACCACCATGAACAGATGAGGACAGGTCATCAGCTTCTGGAGTATTGACTCTCCCTCCACCACCTTCATCACAGCTTTCGTTATCCTCACAAACTGAATCCTGGTGACCTCTTGAAGCTCTTTTGGCTGGAGGCGGTGGAGGAGATATACTTCCTCCAGGTGGAGGCGTTCTCACATCTTCGTTCAGAAGTCTCTTCGTTACAAGTTCAGGTGTCATGGGTGTGTCTGATGCGCTGACTGTAGCTGTGCTACTACTGTGTTTCTGTTGCTGACCCTCACTCCTATCGTCTCTTGTTGAATTAAGGTTTGTCATTTCTGCTAGCCCCTTCACCTTCAAACTTTCAGCTGTCTTCAGAAGTGCTGACAACTGGCAATATTCTACGTTTACTTCTCCCTTATACATGAATTCCACAAGAGTCCTTAATTCAGCAAATCTCACGTCTTTCAAAATGACGATAGGGTGTCGGGTAGGGTGATCCACAAACAGGGTCTGAAAGTATGAGGAGCAAGCTGATAGTACAACCTTATGAGCTCTGATAGAATGTCCTTCAGCACAAGCAAGGGTCACGTCGACAAGGCTCTCGTCTTGTAGAAGTTGACTGAATACACCAAGTAAGTTGCTCTGATGATTGTTCCACCTTAGGCAGTAATGCTCACTTCCCATGTCTGTGATCTCACCCTGCAAATAAAACAAAACTACATGAAATTTACAACATGACACACTGAACATTTAAAATAACATCATACATTAGACTTATGACATCGCAAATTAACATTCCAATAACATTTTTCGCGATTCTATACAGTTTTTGACACCGATCATTACATAACACCGACCACCGCTACCTATCCTTCAACAGAGTTTTGCGCTGCGTTTAGAACATATTCCTACGTTTTCACTAGTCAGAACTTAGATGGTATTTGTAACTTAAGAAGTACACGCATAATTTTGGAGTTGACATGCACCTGCGCCACTGTCGATTCGCGATTAACTTGTCGTAACTTTAACATCCATATGTGCAAAAGGCACACCACCATGTTCCCGCACAAACGTCATAAATTCATCGAGCAGGTCCCTCATTTCGAGGGCAAAAGATGATGATGTCAAGTATCCAATAGGCACAAATGCTATCTTAAATTATAATTTAATGGCCAAATTTCTTTTTGCACACAATGTTTGATCATCGTCTTCAAAATGGCGGAAATATTCTGCAATGATACTTATAGGTCCCTTCATCACGTTTGGCAGATTGACCCTTCGGTATTAAGAACAAGACACCCGTGAAGGAAGGAACTTATACGATCAGCACTCGAAACATAGGCAAACCAAAGCATGCTGACACTATCCCACTATGGAAAAATCACTGCCAATTCGCAAAACACACAAATATTTACCTTGCTACATGAAACGGAATAAGGCCTACTACTTCACCATCGGCGGCTCACCCGGCCTACTGTGACGTCGCCGGCCTACTGTCAACCGCGCAGCGAGAGTCAGTTCACTAGTCATATAGGTACATCCAATTTTCATGAAATTTAAATATTAAATAAATCTTCAATAAAGGTCTTGAATACGTAATGTAAAATCAAGCTAATAATTATGGTATAAAATGTTTGTCGATTAAATTTGTTTTTCTTTTCATAATAAAGCTATCGTCTATCTGACTTGACTTCAGCGGTAGGTGCAGAGTGGGGGAGACGAGAACAGTTCACGCAATATGCACACCGGTTGGTATTTTTAATGTTTTCAGCATTTTTTATCGACATTATGTTTACAATTATGTGAATTTGAAACATAAAGGGAAATAAGAAACCTCCGAATTAATGGTTATGCAATTATAATGTATAATAAAGAAGTTCATAATGGACTGTCGATATCACTCGTAACTGCGGATCGTAACTCATGAATTTGTTATGACTTTTCGGTTAGACGCATTCAACAAAATAAATTATTTCATTCTAAAAATATATTTCATTTTATTGACAATGCGTAAAAGATGATTTACATAACATGATTGACATTTGCTTATACTGTGGTCGAGTAGGTCACACGCCAAATTATCCACATCCTCAAGTTTCATGTCGAGAAACAAATATTAAAACGAAGCTAAAAGTGATAAAAGAAATGAAGTAGGATTTTAATGGAGCAAAAATCTCTAAATGACTTGATTTTATACGTCATTTAGTTAATGAAGTTACGCAATATTTTCGTTGACAGGCCAAATAATATATGTATTGCAGAGGCGCCCAGAGAAAATAAGATGACAGGTGCTCATTATTATTATTATTATTATTATTATTATTATTGTTATTATTATTATTATTATTGTTATTATTATTACAGAAGAAGTAGAACCCTCCTCCATTAATAAACAGGATTCATCTCTCCTGGCAACAAACTTCAGCTACAGCAGTTTCTTTGAATTAAAAGTAAATTCATTTTATATGTGTTCCAGAAAAAAAAACCGGGCCCACAATTAAGTCAGAACATGGAGCACGTTGCAAGACCCTCTCCCTCTTCTATCCTATCTTCTCCCTCTTTCCACTGATGTGTTGACCATTAATGAATTAATACGAATGAAGGAAGATATTTTATTTTTGAAATCAAAATTTAAAAAAATAGATTGTTACAAAAATTATATTTTTGTATGATTCTGTTTTCCAGATTTTATCAATGTATATAGATAATTAAACGAACATAATACTATTTTCTAGATGACTTTAATCAAAAGTAGCCTGAACTCAGGTCGTAAAAATATTTGATTATCTTTTTTGAATAACCACTTACATCACCCTGGTTACATGATATGTATGCCACAAGCAGATTCAGGGACGAATTTTGAAAGGGGAAATATTTTTATTTAATATGTTTTGGTCGAATGTGTCATTTTACAGATTATGTAGAATGACGCAGGTTAAACTAAGCTCATGTTGCGACACAATTGTATTGGTTTGATGATTTATACGAAAATATTTTGCTTGAAAGTTGTGACCAGTTAAAATTAATAGTTTCTGAAAAATTTTGGTAGGGAAAATATCCCTCATTTTCCTCCCCATGGATCCGGATATATATATATATATATATATATATATATATATATATATATATATATATATATATATCGAACTAAACCGTGGGTGCCGCAAATTTATTCTGTATCCGTAGTTTTTTCAATACTAATTAGTTTTAGTGAGTCTTTTCAAAAACTAACAGAAAATATCAATAAAATCATTAGAATGTAACCGTGTAGAAAAGAAAGGAACACGTATTGTATTTAACATCCTTGATGGAGATTGTTTTCTTCATAAAACCGATTTCTATCATTTTCATATGATATCATTTTAATATTTTCTCTCAACTCATTACATTTGTTTTGAATTTCATCTTTTTGAGATAATTACAACACAGATAGCCAGTGAATTTATTGTCAACTTATTTTCGTATCACTTATTTTCCCTGATGTTGTAGTCTAGATTCGTAAGACTGAAGATTTTGTAAAAAGAGTTACTTAAATTTATTTATGTGAATAATGGGAGTTGCATATCAATTTTGAACGTACTGTCTCGCACATATAGTAAATTTCTTTTCATTTTATTTTGTTTTACTTCTTATTTTTCACTGTGTTGTATCCAAGTTGTTTACAATGGTATGTATCACAAATAAATTAATATCAATAGAGTGATTGGTTTCGAATTTAGCAACTCAAAATGTATTTTTTTACCAAAACAATGTTACAAGATTGTTTTCAGCATATGCAGCCAAACTGTATTAGCTTGCCCATTGTTAGAATCAAAATATCAAACAAGTAAACCGAGAGCAGAGAACTGTAACTGTCTAGATATGTTGCTCTAAGGTATTTAGTAAAAGTATAATAGAAGAATACATAATGAAAACGTTTAGTAGAAGGATTAATTAGTGCAGAATATTATTACAAATGATACTGAAACAACTATTGAAAATGCTCTATTACCCCTGGTGAGAGGTTGTTTAGTTTACATTCAACTGTGCATTATAAACTGTTTCTAAATGAGAATGATAATACTTGCCAGGTTTTCTTCGCATACGATATTTATACAGGTAAAGCAAAAATTGACCTAAATTGCATAGAGGCGTTATAGAATTAAGTGTACAAGAAATATGAAATTCACGAAAAAAAGTTGTGAATCAAGATATTGTAAATACATAGGATGTTGCTAAAACTAACGAATTGGATTATTTTTGTAATGAAGTGTGCTCTATGGTATTGAGAAGTAAATAATATTTTTTTCTTTTTTAGTAAAGATTTCTTGATTATTTTAGTTGGAAAGTGAGCGAAGTAGATCGGGGGAATTGGGGATGGGGTCAGGGTCAGGCGGGTAAGGCGGGCCAAGGCGGGCCAAGGCGGGGCCTGTCGGAAGACGGTGAAGCAGGGCCGGGGCAAAACCGAGTGAGGCGTATCTGCACTAGAATAGATAGGAGAGAGCAAGAAGGGCGTGAATTGATAGATTCCAATGGATTGTGAAAAATGAATACCAGAGCAGCGCGGGGAGCGCAAAGTTTGACAGTAACAGATTAAAAAATATCTTCAATAAAAATTGTGAATTTTATTATAATTAATGTTTTGTTTACCTAAACACGCCAAGAAAGTGTAGTTATTGGTGTTGGTGTGAAACATCTAAATGAAAAACCTGGACAACGCCATGTAAGCCAACTATCTAATAGATGATTGTGTTAAACAAATGTCTGAGCAGTGCCAAGTTTCTTAAGTTAGTAAATCGAATAGAATCTATTTAACTAGTAGAATGGTGTATTCGTAGATATCTGGAACAATTGTAGGTCAACAAAATCTTGTAGCAACTTTGATCATATGTTCCGAAATCTATTTCAAAGTTATATCTGCAATAAAACAGTTCACGGAGATATGAGCGAGAGGAAGTGTGGTGACGAAAAAAATGTTTCTGATATGGTTCTTTCAATTTCTATTTATGACATTGTTGATAAATAGTATTCCCAATAATTGACTCGACTGTAAAACCTAGTGAGTGCTGCTACCGTAGAAGTGAGATAATATTCGAGAAAATATGACTAATTCAGAGAAGAATCTAAATTCAATAAATTGATTCGATAAAGATCGGGTAGTATATTTTGGTGGATTAATTGTCTCAAGAAAACATTAAAAGAAGGGGTAATAGAAAATGAAAAGGGGAAAGGAAAGGAAAGGAAAGAAGATTGGAATGTTTGATAATGTGAGAAATGTAAGAAGCTGTAATACTCAGATGAAAGAAGTGCAAAATAGCGCAAGATGGAAAAAACAAATAAAAAGATGTTGCTGTCCTAACCATAGGAGGAGGAACCAATTTATAATTCAAGGCTTGACCGCACTGGAGAACTAACTGTATTGTAAAATAGTGTGTGTAATCAATGTTTACATAAAAATAATTTAAACATTGAACATTTAAATAATGATTCAAAAATATTAAGAAATAAAAAGGAAGTTTAAGTATTAACGTTGTTATAAAGTGATTTAAATCAAAATGAAAAGTCTATTGTAAATATTTTTTGCCCACATTTTTGTGCAGAAAATGCTTTCACTAGACCATCAAAACGTGTTCGAAACAAAGAATTACATTCTAAGTACAATTCAAAACAATACCTCCTTAACCATGTTAGCATAATTTTGATTATTCTCAGCTGAGAAAATGAACGTTCTGGGTACAATAAAAAATCAAGAAATTTAGAAAAATATGAATTTCACATTTGGAAACACGATTCATACGTTTACAATAGTGTAGTATAATGATGCAACGGTTGCAATAGTATCAATCGATGAAAATGATTTTTGTTTTTGTTTTTCCTGTGGGTCTCCACGAAAGTGGGGGACCTAAGCTTGTAAATCCGGCGTTACCTGGGAGCTGTGGCGGATCCGGAGAGGGGACATGGGGGTTGTAACCCCTCCTAAAACATTTGTCATTTTTCAATTTATTCAAAAGAATTTACAAATGTAGATCTCAACACAACCGAAACAACATTCATATTAATAATATCTAGTATTTTATTCATTTAAAGCGAACAATTTTCCAAACAAATGTTGATGGTGATTT